ACCTGCAGTCTTTGTTCTTATTTCCTGGAGAACAAAACATATTTCTGACTTCTAGAAACGACTCTCTCACTATATGACAGTCATGTACTTAAAGACATTGTTAAATGGGCTACTTTTGCTCTTACCTTTGATTTATGATCAGATGTTAACATCTGAACTTTACATTCTGTTTCTTTTTTCATCTCAAGACAATTTTTTCCTCTAAACAAAAATAAAACAGAACTATTTCAAGTAAGCATTTCAAATTATTTTTTTCAAAGAAACCTCAGAAGATGAACCAAAGCTTGAAAAATGCTTATAAATGTAAGTTGGGTCTGCCACCATTATGAAGGTTTTCAAGAAAAGAATGGACAAGCATTTATCTGTGGAAGTATAAGAACCCTGCCTTGGTCAGGGATCTGGTCCCAGTTGTGGGTGTAGGTTTAGGGCAATCTGTACAAGTATTAATAAGCATCCATATTTATTTTAACACATAAGAGTATTTGAAAACATACATCCTGAGCATCTAACACAACACTTTAAACAATCTTTCTAATTCATCCCATAAAGAGAACTGCAAATGGAGGTAACCCTATCTGGTGCTTTCACTCCATAATGTGTAGTTCTGGGATCAGCAGCTTTTTCAGATTTATTGTGAGATATTCTATACGGTGAGATATGATGCAGATGTATTGTTGCAGCAACGATGATGATAGTGATGGTGATGTATGATCCAAATCTTGAAAGGGTGTTGACTATTGCAAGATTTTGGCATCCTCACCTCGTATCTTACAAAATCCCAGGGAGCAATATTAAAATCACATCTTGATCTTGTTGTATTTCAGCAATTTAATTTTAAAGCTTCTGGCTGCCCACCACAGCTTTACTCATATTATTAGTCTGGTGTTTCCTCTACCAGAAAGAATCCAGGCAAGTCATGCTAATTTTGATGAGAGGAAGCATTGCCTTTATAGTGTCCACACAAAAAAAGTGCTGAAGCAGATTTTTGTTTTTTCAATTAATATTCAGATGTTGACCTGATCAGTTAACCTGCTTAGACCAATGAAGCTTACATGAAAAGAACACTATCCATTGGCAACTACACTTCATACTGTATTCCATAAGCTTTAAATACATTATCAGAACTATTTGCGTCAACAGAACCAAAAGACACTTGATGAGATGTTGGTTTCCATATGAAGACAGACATATGAGCAAATGTGTACCGGCTTTTATTATGTGTAACTTGGGTTTTTTTTTTTTGTTAGCTTTCATGTGATGAGGATCTAAATATTCCATTGAGGTCAATGTAATGATTTTATAGATAAATTACTAATAATCTCCCCACGTGTATTTTCCCTCTTAAAAGAATGTGCCATTTTTAAATTTTTTAATCTGAACCGAATCTGCAAGACCTTTTGAGCCCCTTCCTTCCCTGGGGATCCCCACAATTAGAATACGTCTCAAGTACAACAGTACTTTGTTCCATCTCTCAAGGTACATGAATGGAACTATACTCTTCATTCTTGCCATCAAAAAATGTTGCTTTTTAAACAGGGCCATACCCTTTTTTCCTGATTGCCTTCTCAAGGAGTTTCTCATAAGCTAGCTTCTCTTTGTCATACTGGGCTACCATTTTGTCAACTTGTGTACAGTGTAACTTCTGCATGATGCTGTGCTCCTGCAGTGGGGGAAAAAAGGCACATTAGGCTACAATCTGAGTAGCAAGGCATTTAGATATTTGTGTTTCCACAGAAAAAGAGAGAGAGAAAAAAAACACACAAACCCTCACTACAACATCTTTCAAAATGTTTCAAAATGGCACAAACACCTTTTTTATTCTATCAGGCTCCTAAATCAACAAACTCTCCTGAATGGGATTGTTATCTGAAGCAACTTCTTTCCCTATTTGCCTTGGACAGGGGTAGGCAACCTTGGCTCTTTTATGACTCGTGGACTTCAACTCCCAGAATTCCTGAGCCAGCCAGCCAAGTCCACAAGTCATAAAAGAGCCAAGGTTGCCTACCCCTGGGCCCTTGGCATACCTTCCCTTCCTTCTCTTCCTCTACCTGGGTATTTGCAACTTTCAGAACTCACAACTGTTGCTAAGCAACCAAGGCTATTGTGTAAATAGTAAATGCAAAACAAGTGTTTTCTTTTTCAACCCCTAAGTTGTTTTTATTGCCTGGGAAGTACAACATCATTCCAATGAAACCTCTTTGTACCCCTTCCTTTGACATTTCAGAAATTTAAACATTGCTGCAGGACAATGGTAGCCATATGCCCAAATATTTGTTCCAAACTCTTGAATAAACATGCATAGGATGGCACTGAAAAAAGGATACTGCAAAGAACCCAGAGAGAAAGGAATGAATTTTCTATTTTTGAAAGGAAGTTGTAAAAGTTAAAACGGAATTTAAAACAGGTTGAGACTCCCTAGAAATCACTTATGAATCACTTTTTGTTTAAATTACCAATACTCAGATATTAATTTTTTTTTCTTGCGTTCTGATTTGAAGCACCAGGGATGTGCTCAGAATGGCCATTTTTACTTTTTCTAGATTGAAACAAAAGGCTGCACGTTTTGAAAGTCTGTTCCGAACAGAATATACTATACAGCGTTGGACAAAATATATTGTTTTCAATATAGCTTTTAATGTTCCCAGGGCAGCAGTGACAACATAGTGCAGAGCGGCCAAAAAGGCAAAGATGTGGGGAAGCTGAGATGAGCATACCAGGGTGGGAGAAGTGTGAGGATCTCATCTAATGAGAGTGCGGTCCTGGCCTAACAATTGCAACATTAGGACTACAGAAAGTGATGGTGTGGTCATGGGATGTTTCACCTAATAACCACTTCACTTAGTTGTGGTTGTTCAGCAAAAACTATCTGTACTGCTTTGTGGTTAGGCTTTCAAGGTGAAAATGCGCTTTGTTTACCTGGGGAATTTTGTTGACATAGAAGTACATTTATAATTGGCCATGGGCAGTGCAAAAAATTAATCCACTGCTACTGTTTATTTGTGGAGTTCAGTCCTCCAGGTAGTTGTGGCAGCAGACAAGGCTGCTGAAAGGTAGTTAAAGGCTGCTTTCATTGTCTACTATAGGGATTTTAAAATATTTTTAATGTTTTAAAAAATAGATGGCATCTTTGTCCTAGTTAAGTGGCAGACAGCTCCCAGAATGGACTGTTAGTCCAGCTCTGTCTGTGTTTCTAAGATGAAAGGAAAGGCAGGGCAGGTCTCAAGTTCCCAACCACAGAATCCTTGAAACAGATTGACTTGTTGCTCCATTGGAATGCAAGAATACTTGAAGCACTTTGAATTTTGTTCTATTGGAATATGGGATACTTCTTCTTCTTCTTGTGCCATATCCGTTATGGGACGTTGGCGATCATGTTGGCGATCCTGTTTTTATCAGCAGCCGCACGAAAAAGTGCTGCTGAGTTGTTCACAATAGGACTTTTTAATGCTGTGTTTGGAGCAAAATGCCCCCCCCATTTCATATATCTAGAAAGTATATTAGATTTCTAGGCGCAGTTTTTAATTTCTAATTATTTTTGGAAAAGGAAGAATAAAACACTCTTACTCTGTGCTGATGGATGCTGAAGGTAATTACCTACATATACTCTCAGTGCTTGTATTCAAAATGAATTCCTGATTCAGAACTTTTGAAATGTTATGCATGCCTTTTGCACTAGGCTACTGTTGGTCGCTCTTAAGTTATGTAATTACAAATCAAATATTTTTGGTTAAATATCTAATCGTCATTAGCTTAGCCTAAGGGTCAGAGAAGTAGAAGTCATGTACTGCTTCTTAAATTTCTTCTGGAGAACAGAGTAATGTTCCATAGAGTGATGCTATCTATGAAAACAGAAGCATACTTAAGAACCAGTGGCACACATTATTTTAATTAATGCTTTTGCAAAGACTCATACTCCATTTAAAATTTTAAGTACCCCAGCTCTGGAAAGGGAAAACAAAAGATATCCTACCTTGGCATGCCTCTTCTTCAAAGCAGTCAGCTCTTTTTGCTGTTTTTTCAAATGCTTTATATATGCCTGTTCCCCATTAAAAAAAAATGTTTTAAAACACCTAAACCAGAAAGTCTTGAAAACAGTTGTCTTGATTTCAAAACTGACTCTGCACAATGCATAAAGCCAAAATTTTCGAAACCATGATTTACTTTAAGCCAGGTTTTCAGAAAGTGTTAAACCATATGAGAGTCACTCAGGACAGCGAGATGGGCAGCATATAAATTAAATAAACGAACAAACAAAGAAACCAAAACCAAGAAATTACATTTTGGCTTTGAATGATGTGCAGAGCAATTCAAAACTCATTACATCTTTAGCAGGTTTTGAAAAATGGGGGAAACCAAGTTGTTATCTTTGAGCAATATGCAGAGATTTCATATAAATTCCTGTGGGCTGAGACTTAACGATAATGGAAATCTTTCTTTTCTGCCTTGCTATTTTACAGTCATTCTAGAATTCACTCTATAATGTGGGAGAAAAATGAAAAGCAAAGCGTCAGGCACTAGATCCTAAGTGCTCTTAACCACTTCTTCCTTTATCAGTTTAAAAGGCTTCCCTAGAGTAAACTGAAAACCCTTAATGGATTAAAGGCCAAGTAAAATGAAGTCTTATTCTTATTTAATTATTTAATAAGGATACTTGGATTTTCAACCGCACAGGAAAATATCAGAAAACACAGATTTACCTTCATCTGTTTTAAGTCTTCTATCTTGATTTGAGGAATAAGATCTATACCTTAAAAATGGAGAGGAAAAACAAGAGAATGGGCATATTTTCAGTATTGTTACTTACTCTAATGTCACTTCATTGAACTATATACACTTGCTGAAAAGATATCCAGATTATTACAAAGGAAAATAAATATTTTCCCTTAACGCTTCTTAGGTACTCTTACTATCTATCAGGCGAAACATGATACAGCGGGAAATCTGAATGCAGTAGTCCTCTAGATGGTTGCTTACCTTTCTTAATTTCTGCACCAGGTCCTGTACTGGAAATGGGATTTGATCTGACTTCAGAGCTGGTCTGAGGAGTAACATTTACTTTAGCATTATTAGTTTTCCCCTTCTTATCATTCTTCGATGTGTCATTTGGAACATCAGCGATGTCACTCTGCAAGAAATAAGGCCTTTTTTAAAAAAACATACCATGGACAAATCTGGAAGGACCAGGATGAAAGATTGCCAGCAGCCAGTGAAACTGAAACATAAACCAGGTGTCTAAGGGCAGGGTGCAAGAAGTCTAGTGTCATAGCACATGGCTGTCATTGATACATCTTCACAATCATAATAACTGGGCCATCTTATTCCCTTTGTACCATTAGTGCTATGCAAAGGACAGTCAAGCAATGTTATGTGTTTCCCTCTTGTTTGCACTAACTGGCTACAACTTCTTTCTCCCCACATATAAAATTCCACTTAATAAGAGCACAGCTGGGAAAGGTAGAACAGCAATTACAATCAAAAGCAGACTAATCAGAGGAACAGCTGGACCAGGCCTCTTACTAAAGGGCAGGGGAGACTAACAATAGCACAAAGGCTTGACTTTTTAAAGTGTGTTCTCTTCCTGTAGTAGCTGTAGTCTACCAACTAGTACTGTGATTAGAGAAGATGAGGCGGCCCAAGAAGAGCAGATGGTGGTTGCCATGAGCAGGTGGGAAACTCAGTGGTGAGAATCAGCCAGAGGGAGAGGACTACCTTATCCTGAGTCCAGGTTTACAACATCACCAGCCAACATGTTCTGAAGTAGATATTCTGCTGCCAAGGAATCATTTGATCTTGAGCCTAAAGATTCCTGCTGTATTTTTTGCACCGACTACAAGGCTCAGTCCATCAAGGGCCGGGATGCTGTATGTCTTGTGTAGGGGATGCTTAACACCAATCGAGGCATTATCCAAGAATCCTTGCTACTATTGGTAATAATAGAGAACTTAAGCTAACTAGAGGGCACCCACTATCAAACAGAATGGTGTGTGTGTGCGCGCGTGTGTGTATTCACATTTCAAAATTGCCCATCTCCCTCAAATAGGTCACTTAAGAGTGGCTGAAGAAATTATTAGCAGGCAAACAATAGGCAAATAAAACAACAATCTATTGCTAAAGTTCAGGGTATAATATAATAATAATAAAGTTGGAAGGGACTTTGGAGGTCATCTAGTCCAACCCCCTGCTCAGGCAGGAAACCCTATACCATTTCAAACAAATGGCTGTCCAATCTCTTCTTAAAAACTTCCAGTGTTGGAGCATTCACCGCTTCTGGAGGCAGGTTGTTCCACTGGTTAATTGTTCTAACTGTCAGGAAGTTTCTCCTTAGTTCTAGGTTGCTTCTCTCCTTGATTAGTTTCCATCCGTTGCTTCTCGTCCTGCCTTTAGGTGCTTTGGGGAATAGCTTGACTCCCTCTTCTTTGTGGCAGCCCCTGAGATATTGGAACATTGCCATCATGTCCCCCCCTCATCCTTCTCTTTATTAAACTATTAATGGAATTCTCAGGAGTTTGAAACAGGTTCTCATGTACTTAAAATTAGCAAAATGACAAATATATTATATATGTAAAAGATAAAGCATAAAACAATAACAAGAGGACAGATCTGGTCATCAATAACAAAGCATCCTGTACCCAATAAAGGGCTCCAACACCCTAAGTTACTGTAAAAGGAGAGATTGGAAATTATTTGGTAGCATTTCTGAAAACTATTTTTATTTTAAGGTACAAGCTCCCTTCATCAGAGTGGCCTTACTGAAAGGATTAAATTACATAGGGATGGAGAGGAGTAGCGAGAGGGAAGACATGGTAATAATGCAGGTGAAGGTTCTATGGGGGACAGATTACAAGCGCCTTATCAGTTAACGCTTGTAATGCGTAAAAAACTCACTGTGTTTGTTCTAAACATCTGAAAGACTGAATTTTATTTGGTGGTGGTGGTGGTAATCCCCAAATTGCTACTTTGAGATATGTCCTGGAAAGCTAAAATACTTTGCTATAACTCTGTCCTTGATAACTCTGATATATTAAATTTGCATTTCTTAGTTCTTTTATGCAAAGTCTCTCCTGTGTGTCCTATGTAGAATCCAGAGTAATATTGCTGGAACACAATGGCATAAAGTAGATTACAGGAAGAGCACCAGAAGTTGCCTCCAGCCATCTCCTTTGAAACTTACCTTCTAAACTCCTGATAATATAAGTAATGTTTAATTTTAGCCATGGTGGAGCAACAGAAAAGCTAGCCAATGTTGGCTGTCACTCTAATATTTTAAATATTCTGCTAAAAGAGGCTTCTAGAAAAAAAAATATGCAAATCAATTCCATATCCAAGGTTAATTTGTCCTCCTTACCGTTTCAATTCCCATAGCTCTCATCTGGTCTGCTCTTTTCTCCATGACAGATAAAAATTTCTTTGGATCTGACAAGGCATCCACAATATCTAAAAAGGAATTTAAATAAATAAAGCTATTTTCAACTCCAGATCCCTTTAAAGCCCATCACATAATTCCTACAAACGGCTCTGCTTAATTTTATCATGCATTACTGTCTCCCTAATCGTGAGAAGTGATAAAATGGAAAGTCTTCATAAATCTAAGAGATGCAGAAGCATAGGGTCTGTAACAGGTTCCATCAGCTTAAGAGAAATAATATGAAAAAAAAATAAGGTGCACAGAAACACACTCCCACAGCTCTTCATTATGCTAGGGAGACAATTTGTTCTGAGCCCTACTATATATTGTATACGTGTGTTTGTGGGTGTCCATGTGAGTGTGTATGTGTGAGAGCATATATGTACAGACACCCCCAAGATCTTGCTTTCTTCATATGTGGAAAGGCCAAATACTGCATTTGCAAGATAAAGTAATTCTTCTCCCCATGTCAGAATATTTATCAGGGAATTATGTACTTTGCTGGACCTCTCTCTGACATTTCATCTCTAGAGGCTTTGTAAAATGCTCTCGTTTTTTTTTATTAAAAAAAACAATAGTCACAAAAACTTCACACAAAACCTCTTACTACAAATGCGTGCACCATCTTGCAATAATTCCAGAAATATGCCCAACAGTCTACACCAGTGGTTCTCAACCCTTTTAATGCCGCGACCCCCAACCGGTCGTAAATCAAGGACTAAACCGGTCGTAAGTCGAGGACTAAACCGGTCGTAAGTCGAGGACTAAGCCGGTCATAAATCGAGGACTACCCAACCGGTCGTAAGTCGAGGACTTTCCCTGCCCGGGAGCGCCACACATGCGTGGTTCTGCCCCCTGCGCCAGCCGAGGCATAGCTGGCAAGCGGCAGAGACGGAGCAGGCCAACCACCAGCTGGCCCAGCTCAAGGGAGGTAAGGCACCCGCCGGAAAAGGGAAAAAAAATGGCGGACAGCCTTGCATGGCGACCCCCGTGAAATGGTCGATCGACCCCAAATGGGGTCGCGACCCATAGGTTGAGAACCGCTGGTCTACACGCTATTCAAATCTTATTTCAATACACACAATCACAACATTATAGATAGAAGTAAAACAAAACCTACTTGAATTTTATTGGGGGCAGAAGAATAGTAACTTTAGGCTCGGTTCTGTTTAATACCATCCTATCATGCTGTTGTCCAAAGAGATCATCAGCCCCCTTTTTCACTTTGCTTTCTAAAAAAATAGCTACCTTGAAGAACCAGGCATTGAGCAGACAGGGGTGGAGGGTTTTTTTCTCATTAAGTTCACCATTATAAGAGACAAGGTAAAATGAGTGTTTCCAAACTGAGCCTTGGTGGCTATTATACTAAGCTATCCTGGATCCTTGGACTTGGGGAAAGAACGAGATAAAAGAATGTCTGAGAGTCAGAGAAATGGATAGACCATTCATTTTCATTTTTCCAGAAAGATGAAAAATTCCTCAACAATTTCTCAAGGACAAGATTTCCCTATATTGGTGACATTCGTACCATTACTTAAAAAAAAAAAAGCCAGGATATGTCTTTCCTTGGTTTAATGAAACATGGGAAGCCCTGGAGGTTAGAGATCACCAAACAGTATTTTATCAATTGACTTAATGCCATCTGACAATGATAATCTTTCCAATTGCAGATCAAATTGAGACCAATCATAACTGTCAAAGGAATGCATTCCTAGCTTAGGAGCATTATTCATTCATTCATTCAATTTGTATGGCCACCCATCTCAAACAAGTAGCAAACAGGCAATATAGGCAAATTCCATTTCCCACATGCCAAAAAGCTTCTGTAAATGGGAAGCATGCCTCTTAGAAAGGGATCCTATCTTTCATTTCCAACTTCAATCTGCAAAAAGGATTACTCTGCACTCATTGCATTGGGACTGGGGAAAAAATGTGATAAATTTCCAGGTCCATTGCAAACCTTTTCCATAATAAGAAATATTCAAGACTCTTGGATGGTTGGGTAATTACAGTCATGGGGACAAGGGTTATAGTAGCTGCACGAAATATATAAAGCAGATGGAACTACTTCGCATCTTAAGCTGAGCTAAGATACTCTGCTGGAAAGTTGGGGAGGATGACAGAGTGTATGTATGTGTGAGTCTGAATTTTTAAAGCATGTTATGCTGATTTTAATACTTGCATAAAGTTTCTGTGATCTTCCCACCTCAATAGGTCATTACATGCATTATCCATTTTTGCTAGCCCGGCTGAAAGGTACAGAAAGCGGGCTGAGGACTGATAGGGCCGAGTTTTTGAATTGTGCGGCAAAACTATCCATGATCCTTCCCAATTAATTTGCTCCAAATAAAAGATATGACTGATGCATTTACCTCCAAAACCATCAGGCACGTAAGTTTTAAGTACAATGTTGCAGAAAACCGTTGGCAGAGACAAGGGCTTGTTGCCTTCATTTCGAAGGGAAATGTGTCGATAGCCTGCCTGAAGCCCATCCAGTGGCAATATCCTTTGACCAATCAACCTGTTGTTGTCATCATAAACTGCTATCCTCAAGACCGCAAGATCTGGTAGAATCACCTAAGAAACCCCAGAATAAAGGTGGTTATTCAGGTTCATCAGAGAGCACATTCCTACTTTGTAATTGTTGAAGAAATCCAGCAACCCCATCTGGAACCAGGTTCTAACGGATCACCCCATAGGGATGTTTGATTACATATTTACAATATCATTAGGCTTTCTTGAACAACACCTTTGGTGGCGCTATGTGTTAATGTTACACAGAATATATTAGTAGTGGATATTGATTTATGCCTCTAAAAATAGCCAATCAACGTTATTTAATTCTGTTAAGTTTGCTTTTCTTTCTAAAAAGAAAAACTCCAGAAGTTTGGAGGAATAAAAATAAATAGAAAGTGATTAGAATAAATGAATCTTCAAAAGACGGAGGCTACTTTGGTCTGATGAGTACTCAGTACTATTCTGGTAGCACAGGGTTGCTTTCTCCAAAGAGGTCCCCATTCTGTTCTCCAAAATATCTACATTTTATTAGCTATGCAATTCATCTGTGTCATGCACGCTGACAGAAATATAATCTTTGATGGACGAAAACACTATTTTCTTCCTTAGCAGGCAAAACCAGTCTGAAGGATTCTCATGCAGGAAAGAGATAGTGTTCCAATAGAAGAGAATAGGTTGAACTGTGGAGTCCTTAGTGCTCTCTGAACTTGGTTGTTAGCTTGCAGACATTTCATTACCTAACTAGGTAATACCATCAGTGCTAGGAGTGTGGGGTTTGCTCCTTGTTTATATAGTAGCAGGAGGAAACAAAAAGACCAGAACACATCCTCTAGTAGTCAATATGCAGATAAGCAGGGAATAACACCAGGCAAATGACCAAACAGATATACCCTAATCAAGGAACTACCAAGCAGAAAACCACACCTCCACCAACAATGGCAGGGCAAGCTACTGCACATGAACAAGAAGCAAATTACACACTCACCAGCACTGATGAAGTTACCTAGGCGGGTAATAAAAAAGTCTGCAAGCAAACCTCAAGCTCATGGAGCACCAAGGACCCCATGAGGGATAATGTTTCTAACTATCAAATATTGTCCACATATAGAATTGGACCTTATTTATCAAATTTAGCTACCCACTCACAGGGAGACTCAGGCTTATCATGCGATTGGTGGGAAAACAGTGTATAAAGGTCCTCATAGTACTATACTAAAGGGTAGTACTTTTTAGATGGAATTGCAATCCTACTTTCCTCCCCAAATATTTACAGCCAACATTCTAAACTCTCTAATCCAAAAAAGATTAAGATAAAGTTATAAAGATAAGCGATCCCCAACTTTTGTTCCCAAATAAGGGGAAAAAAATTAGGAGGAATTTCCTTCTAAACATTGTGTGACTTCATCTAAACTAACAGCTAAAAGTGCTCATCTGTATGTGATTTTATAAAAGGTAACGTGTAGTTTTCACAGCATTTGTTCAAGTTGCAACAATAGTGATTGTAAGGAAGCTAAGTGGATATAGGTCTTTTCTATTTCTCAAATTTCAGAGGACAATGCAAACGAGTTAATCTTCTTTCCTCCAACGGATTCTACTAACAGAACCATTGCTTACTTGCCGAACAAAGTATGAAAATAAAAAAGAGCATTGCTTAACGCATTGTAACACCAGCATTCCATCAATGGAAGACAAGAAAATCATTTTTTTCTAGCTAATGCAGATAATTAGTGCTGGCATTGGAATCATAGCCTGGGTCCCTTCTGGCATCATTCCATAGCAAGAATGAGACATCTCAAAATACTTTAGTTAGAGCAAATGCAAAATTGTCTGAAGGAGGAAAAATTGGCAGTAGCCTCTGTCAAGACTGGATTGAACAATAATCTCAAGTTGCAGGTAAAATATCTTAAAGGATTAAAAAGATTTTTAAAGACACAAATATTAAACGTTATATTGAAATATTTCCTATCATAAGGCTCTTTAAAACTTTTTCCCTTAGAAGCTGCTATTTTCTATACTTTAAGTTATTCACACTTTATTTTTTGATATATACATTTCCAGAATATAAGCAGTCCCTTCTGCTGGCTGCCTGTTAAAGGAAAGTTTTTGAGTTCTGCAATTACAAAGGGCCCCAAAGGATTAGGCTATTATTTGGCAACTAGTAAGAAACATATCAACTAGCATACATAGTTAAATATAGCAAGACTGACCCAACATAAATATCAAAATATCATTATCACAATTGAGTAATAGCTCACAGAAGAATAACGACACAGAATATGTATTACAACAGTAGTTTTATTTTTTTAAAAAACAGGGGGACAATAAAACACCATTTACACATAACGCAGTCCTCGACGTACGACCACAATTGAGCCCAAAATTTATGTTGCTAAGTGAGACAGCTGTTAAGTGAATTTTGTCCCATTTTACAATCTTTCTTGCCACAGTTATTAAAAGTATCACTGTAGCTGTTAAGTTAATAACACAACTGATAAGCGAGTCTGACTTCCACCATTGACTTTGCTTGTCAGAAGGTCACAAATAGTGATCCCATGACTCCAGGACACTGCAACCGTCATAAATATGAGTCAATTGCCAAGTGTCTGAATTTTGATCACGTGACCACGGGGATGCTGCAACGGTTGCAAGTGTAAAAAATGGTCACAAGTCACCTTTTTCAGGGACGTTGTAACTTTGGTCACTAAATGAACTGTTGTAAGTCTAGGACTACCTGCACCTGCTAAGTATTTGCATGAGATTCATGCTACCTAAGTAGTTAATAATCCTAACTCTACCATATTACACAATTCTCCTGGCATGAAGCCCTCGGTCTGTGCAATTTTTCTGATATATTCCAAATGTTATTAGGTTAGCTATCAGTTGCATAAACCTTGGGTCATGCTACTGTGATGCTTTACATTTGCCATTAGCTCCCAACCGTAACTAAATTAGGCACGATACTAGCCAGAAAAATACATCACAAAGAAAAAATGCAGGTGACTGTTCTGCATTCTAGACAACAGAACAGGCAAAAGAATAGAAGACACTGTCAATGACGGCACCATTAATGGACACACTTCTGGATAAACTTTAGTTGACAAAAAATTTTTTAAAGTAGAATGGGATAGAAAAAAAACTAGACACCAGGGATTGCCCTTAAGAGTGAATCTGCATGTGCATTTTGACAAATCTTTATACGTAGCTTCAGGGGCGAATGATTATGTAGGTGCAAGCAGCATGGTGCAGCTTAACCATGTTTTGCTGAACTTGGCATTTCTTCAGAATGAAATGAGATCTGCGTGCTTGCATGGAAGATACACATTTGGAAAGTCCCCTTATTAAAAAAAAAAATCCCTTGCTGGGTTATTAACAAAATTAGACTAGATGCAGTGTTTCTCAACCTTGGCAACTTGAAGAGGTATGGACTTCAACTCCTAGAATTCCCCAGCCAGCTGTGCTGGCTGGGGAATTCTGGGAGTTGAAGTCCATACCTCTTCAATTTGCCAAGGTTGAGAAACACTGGACTAGAGGTTTTCCTCCTAGCTATTTTCATTTGCAAGACGCTCTTCTACAAAAGTAATAGCCACAATTAGCACCTCAACCATTTTGTCACAAGGTGGTACAGAAAGAGTACACACATGCCTTATAGGGACAAAAGTAAGAGAAGGTCCACTGAATCAGCCCCAAACTCTTCTTAGTTCAATATTCGCTTTTCCTGTTGATGTCTACAGGGAAGCCAGAAGACTGCAAATGATATGGAGAGGCTTACTGTCTGCAACACTACCAACAATACACAGGCCACACGGTTGCTAGCTGTCAATGACTTTGTCCTCCGTGAATGTTGCTTAATTTCCTTTTCAAACTATTTAATTTATTGGCCATCACCACATCTTGTGACAGCAGATTACAGTTCAATTGAGCATTGTGTGGAAAAAAAATCTCGAATGCCTTATGAACCTCCGATAGCATAGTACAGTGATGGCGAACCTTTTAGAGACCGAGTGCCCAAACTGCAACCCAAAACCCACTTATGCATCGTCGGGTGCCATGTGGGTGTGGCCCATTGGCTGGGTGTGGCCCATTGGCTGGGTGTGGCCAATTGGGTGGGCGTGGCTGTGGTGGTAACGGCAGACTGAGTGGGACTAAAAAGTTCAATCAATTAATTCCAACTTTGCAAGATCTTTTTTTTCCCCGCGAGAAGTTGAAATTGACTGATTGATTGAACCCTTTTTTTTTTTGCACACGGCGGCGGAGGCCTAAAGCGAAAAGGTTTTATAAAACCCAGCTGAAGGCCTAGGACTGGGGCGACGGCGCGCATGCCCACAGAGAGGGCTCTGAGTGCCGCCTCTGGCACCCATGCCATAGGTTCGCCACCACTGACATAGTATCATTAGATGACCCTAAGAGTAGAACTGAGTAAAGGAGAAAAACATCTCTAGCCACTTTCTCTGCACCAGGCAGAATTCTGCACATCTGTCGCCTCTGACTTGCCTTATTTCTAAGCTTTAAGACCTCCCCGATGCTGAAACCTCTCTTCAGAGAGAGGAAGAGTCTCTCCATTGTCATTTGGGTAGCCCTTTTTTGTTCTCTAGTTTTCAGAATGATGCATGACTTCCAAATTTGGATGTGTATTATTTTCGAGTCCTGTTTTCCTGATTCCAAACACAGATTTTGCCACTTTCACATAAGCCAAAATGTTCACATGAGCTTCCTGCATCATACCACCTTGTTCTGGCACAGACTTAAAAGCCGGGCCAAGAATACGCGATGTTCCTCCTGAAAACACAGCCCCTTGCAACTAGGATGATGGGAGCGTTTTGTAAAATGGCACAAGTAAACTCACCCCTAGAACTCCAAATGGTGTCTAGTGAACACTTGTGTGTGGAAGAGAGAAGAGATATACACGACGCAGACAGGACGAGGGAGCCAGCCTCAGATGCAGAGGCAGCACCCCCTGACTGAATCCACGTAATGACATTGACCTTAGCTTTGGATGCCGGGTCTCACCTGCCCTCTTGGCTGAAGGAACAGTGCAAGATAGGCAGGGCACTGCCAGGGCAGGGAAGAAGTTGTACTCTCCAAGGAAGGTAGAGGTATCCCCAGCTGGAGCTCATTCTGAGCAGACTGCATACCTGGAACACAGGCATAGCCATAGCCACGAGCGAGGCTGTTCCTCCAAGAGGGAGGAAGAAGAGGAGGAGGAGGAGGAAGAGCAGGAGGAGGAAGCAAGAAGAGGGAAAAGCCAAACAGAAAATAAAAATCATGTGACAGCTACAAGAGTTTCCGTTAAAAAATAATAATTCCAGATTTAGTTAACTCTATCCCATGACAAAAAGTGGTATCATGGTAGATGAAGGGAAAGCGCTAGCAAGACCTCCTTCTCCTAAATCAGCCTTCCCCAAACCATTATTTTACTGAAGTGATGTGCCTGCAATGCCCAGAATTGAAATTTCAGCTGAGCGTTTGGGGAGTGGTCAACTCAACGCTGTTGAGGGGACATCAGATTGGTGGGTCTCTTCCTAAAAGTTCCTTGTTTCGGGAAAAGTGTTGAGGCAAAGTGTTATTCATAAAACCTCAAAGGCATTTTCAGGCATCTGAAATACATACCTTTCGGAACACAAAGCACTCTTCGTTGTAAACAGGATTTAAGCCATTGTTCATCACCATCCGTGTTCGGAATTCCTTACGTATTGTATCAGTGGGAAGGCCATACATATCCACCTCTACGTAAGTACCAATTTTTTTGTCTGATAAAAATTGACCAGATATGACCTTGAAATGGAAGCATAAGAATGTTCAGTCCAATGAGAAATTCAATATAGTCAAGCGTATATCAATGTTTAGTGTTATTCATATGTATGAATATATATATATATTAATATATAAATAATAGGGTTGGAAGGGACCTTGGAGGTCTTCTAGTCCAACCCCCTGCTCAGGCAGGAAACCCTATACCAATTCAGACAAATGGCTGTCCAATCTCTTCTTTAAAACGTCCAGCGTTGGAGCATTCACAGCTTCTGGAGGCAGGTTGTTCCACTGGTTAATTGTTCTAAACTGTCAGGATATTTCTCCATAGTTCTAGGTTGCTTCTCTCCTTGATTAGTTTCCATCCAACCTGTGGCCCTTACTTTATATTTTAAAACAGCTTCAGGTATCTGAGGTCAAGTAGCGTATTTCAATCGTTCTTTTCTACACTGCGCAGCTTCCTACCTGCACTGAACAAGTCGCTGCTATAACACCGTCCACAGGAGTCTCAGAAAAAGGGTCAAATGTCCGATCAGGACGCCGCATGAAATCTGGTTTAAGAAGATAACTTAAAAAAAAATCAAAACGCACATGTTTAGATAAAACTACTTATGTTTCACTTTTAATCCCTTTTAAATTAAATACCATTATTATTAATAGTTCTCTTGCAAGTCATATGTAGAAAGCATATAATCAGCTGAAAATAAATCATGGAAGAGTATTGTTTTTAGAATGCATATCCAAGATAGAAAAACTAAATTTTACTCACTGAATGGTGAAAAAAACCCTACAGTAACCAGAATGAGATAATACATCGTATGAATTCATCATACCTGAAACATTTCCTTTAAGAAATTAAATTCAGCGTACACATTCAAAATTACATTAATTTAGGTAAGTAAACAAGTATGTGACAGGATTTTCTACCCAATGATTAGCTGAATAATTTAACCACTTCAATATGGTATAGATTTTTTTTCCTGCTGCACATTCTTTGGTTGGGCTGGGACTTTCACAGTACATCCATAAGACATGTGGCTATCTTCTGGGCTAAAGAATTTTAAAGCTAGAATCCATTTCAGTGTCAGCTGGTTTTTCCCTCCCTTTTTTGACATGAAAAAAGTATCCATCAAAACTTTTTCCAACCACTGGAACTGCCAAATGAGTCTTTTGTGGTGATGAGAACCCAAACTTGGTGAAAATTCTAATCGCCATGGCAATGATAATCATATAGCCTTTGGGACACAAAGGACTTTGTTGAAAGGAAGCCTGGCCATTTTGTCCAAGGCCTAATTTTTTTCTTCGGCCTAGACAAGGTGGGTGAGACTAACCTGCCCTGTACTGATTCAAGAGTTCAATGCAGACTTCTGATTGTACTGAATTCTGCTGAACAGCAAATGACAAAACAAAAAACAAACAAAAAAAATCCATCAGCTGCATCACAAGGAAATAAAGGTAGATCCTTAATATTCATAGTGGTTCTGTTCCACTATAAAATCATAAATTATGAAACTGCAAATAACCAGGCCATGAATCTGTGGGAAGGACAGGGTTAGTTTTTGGTCTGGTTAGTTTAGTTTACAGTCATTCTTTTCCTACTTCCTTCTTTCCTTTCTCTGCCAGTGTATAAAATGCATTTGTTCTATGTATACTAAACTCAGTGGGAAAATCCCAAGCCAAGAATATGAATCCCACTTCATAGTTCAGTTTCTTTTCCAGATCATTTCCGTAGTTTTTCACAAATTCAGTTATTTCCAATTCCCACACATTCTTTCCCACATTCGCATATAAAGATATACCATCTCTCTCTTTGGAAAATAGAGTATACACCCACAAAGTGATAGGCACAGAATTTTTTAATTACTCATAGTTATTTATCAAACTTATAGAGAGCAGCCATATCAGTATATTACTATATCACTCTCGGAGCAGCTCTGATAAACTTTCAAGAAACTTGGAAGCTTCTGTGTTGCCTTCTTTAATTTACTGGTAATTTAGTCAGTGAAGAAATTAGCACTCAGTTTGACATGGGACCTAAGTTATATTTTCAAGAATGTTACATTTAAAAAAAAAATGTTGCTCAAATTATTATCTGCATTAATAGATCTGCCTTTCTCACTTTGTTATATTCCAGGTTGGGATCTCTTTCCAAAAGACACAAAGGACAAAGTTACACTACATTTTGTATTTCTTTTGAAAGGTTTTTTTAAAAAATATTCTATATACCACAAACCTCTTAGGTCACAATTTCAACAAGTTTCAGTTAAATAAATAAACTAGCAGAGAAGATACAAGAGGTAACCTGAAATGCCCTGTTTGTAAGGTGACCAACCGTCCTCCTTTAGGGAGGACAGTCCTTCTTTTGTAAGTTCTGTCCTCCCTCGAAAAGTGTCCTCCTACATGTCCTCCTTTTCGATATTTGAAGACTAATCTGCAGGGCTTTTTTTTCCCTCATAAAACGCTCAGAACGGCGTTCCGGCACCTTTTTTTGATGTTTTTTTTTTTCAACTTTTGCATGAGCTGTGCTACTCCTGCTATTGGCTTTTGAAAGTCAATAGGAATTGCTGCTGAGCACGCCAAAACACCCGGCTGGCAAACTTTGCACATGCAAGTTGTCTGTATTATTGTTGCAATGAATAAAATGGTTCTTTTATTTACGATATTTTTTTCTTCAATTTATTCGTGTCCTCCTTTTTATTGTAAAAAAGTTGGTCACCTTACTGTTTGCAAGAAAATATCTCGGGTTTTTAAATGTACATCTCTGGGCATGTTGCAGCAGAAAGTACAGTGATATGATAAGGATCCTGATCTTTGAGAGAAGTTGCACATCTCTGGGGGGAAATGAATATCTGTGTGCCCAAATGGCACCTATCTAGCCTTATACAAGTTGTTCTGCCAGCATTCAGCTGGGAGTTTAGGTCAAAACTAGTTCAACGTTTGTATTGCAATTGATAGTATAGAATAGTATAGAATAACAGAGTTGGAAGGGACCTTGGAGGTCTTCTAGTCCAACCCCCTGCTCAGGCAGGAAACGCTACACCATTTCAGACAAATGGTTGTCCAGTCTCTTCTTAAAAACTTCCAGTGTTGGAGCACTCACAACTTCTGGAGGCAGGTTGTTCCACTGGTTAATTGTTCTAATTATCAGGAAATTTCTCCTTAGTTCTAGGTTGCTTCTCTCCTTGATTAGTTTACACATCCATTGCTTCTTGTCCTACCCTCAGGTGATTTGGAGAATAGCTTCTTTGTGACAACCCCTGAGATATTGGAACACTGCTATCATGTCACCCTTAGTCCTTCTTTTTATTAAACTAGACTTACCCAATAGCAGATACATCTTGAAGACAAAAGCTGCTTAATAATAATTTTAAAAAAATCTCAAGGAAAACTGATCTGTACTCCAAATCCCAAAACCTTGCACTTTAGGTGATCATCTTCAGCTGGAAACAATGGGGACTATTAGCCAAATAAGGGAGAGAGCAGAAGGGAAATTGAATTACTAGTAACAGGAAAAGCCTCCACATTCCAAATGGCCCGAATTTAGGTTTCTAAATCTAAATCTGCTAGACAGCTCTGATTTTCTACTCATAACAACATTTAATCTATTCATGAGTTAAAAAAAAAAAATCAAAGCTGCCTAGCAAATTTAGATTTAGAAATTTAAATTTGGGTGTTTGGGAATGTGGATATAAAAACTCTACTACCTTGTACCTTACCGCTTTATTTGCAAAATGTGGTTCCTTTTTTGCTGCTCACCCTCTCCTCCCCCTTCAGGGACAGATCTTCCAGCTTCTTTTCATAAAATATAACACCAGACTGAATTTCTACAGCCTGTTTTTCATTTACAGCACATAATTAAAAGTGACATTGTTCTATATAATGGCAGCTGTTAAACATTGTTACTTACCCACAAGACCCGTTATACTCAAATTTCCCCTGATTCAACTGCATTGCTAGATCTGTGAAGAGGTAAAAATAGTTTAAATTTTATTAGTGAGCAATACCTATCTGGACAGTCTTTTTAAACTAAAAAACACAATTTATCCGGGGCAGCCAGTTTAGTTTCAATTCCTTGAAAGCAAAGGACACGTTATCCTACTTCAGTAGAAAAATGCAAAATATATTCATCGTAAGTTGCTGGTCCTTCAATTTTTTTTGTGAAATATGAAATTCTAAAAGGGTGTAATTAAAAGACTGCCTCCTCTTTTCTATCATCTCTATCTCTCCACTCTGAAGATATGGATTTATTAAGTGAACAGGAACATTCTATTGACTAGGACAATGGTCAATATTGGACATGGTTGGTCATATTGGACTACAATATTGGATTAGCAATCCTTACACATCTGATCATTATTTTCCAATAAGAGTAAGGAGCCCTTCCGTTATGAAACATTGTTCAGTGATAGAACGTGACAGACCTCAAACCATCTTTCATATGGTGATAGTTAACATGGCTACTTTGTTGATTCTTCAGTGGATTCTAAATATCAACCCACAGATGTTTTTGGTGGAACCAAGTCACGAGGATGTATTTTCTATTGCCCTTCATGACAAACAACAAGCAAGACTTCCGGTGGCAGGCGACCTCGTCGGATGCAGCTGTTGCTGCCTCCCGCCTGTTTTTGCGTAAAAGCCGTTTTGACAGGTAGCATCATCTGTCAAACGGCTTGATACCTTTCCCCTGGGCATAAGGGGTTAGGTGAGCTGCCCGGGGTAGGAGTTGAGTTCCCGAGTCGTCCCATGTGGACGATGTAGGTGAGAACTCCTCCGGAGCCCTGAGGCTTCTCCGCGATCCAGGACGCCTTCGCTTTGGCGAAGCTAGAAGCCGCCGCCTCCGCTGCAACTTAAAGTGAACTGTGAGTTTTTCTTGGAAGCAGACGAACCGACCCTGGAAGTTTGCTTTTATTTGGGACTTTACTCTAACTTGGATACTAAGTTCTTCCCCGTACTTGAGATGGTTTGAGGGAAAGTGAACTTAAAATGGCGTTGGATTGATACTTTTTCAGCAAGAAGTGAAAGTGATTTCCGGTTTGGAACTTTTGCTACTTTTAACCGGCGTATTACTTGCTCTGGTTGAATGGCTTACAAGACTTTATTATAATTGGAAAGTGATTGCTAATATGGCTTTGAGAAAAACTGCGCCTTCGACTTTAAAACCGACTGCATCTCCGATGTCTCAGACACCTCAACAAACTTCTAAAATTTCCCACCCGCCACCTCTGCCATCTTCTTCACCCCCACCACCTTCTAGTAGAGAACTGCAGGACTTGATGTCCGGAACTATTAAACAAATGACTGAGATGTTTCAAGCGATGGATGCTAAAATGCAAGATAGATTTGATCAAGTATTACAGCAACAACAGGATTTATCACAGAAGCATGAGGATTTTTGTTTGAATGTGGCAACTGCTTTTCAAGATTTGGCTAAATACATAGATGCGGTGGCGGAAAGAGTTGAAGAGAATGAACAAAAAGCAGAAGTAAGTGACCATAGGCTTGAACTTGTAGAGGAGAGTCTGGAAAATGTTAAGGCTGATGTGTTAATTGCCCAATTTCGTGACATGGAGTTTGCAATTCGGATCCGGGGGCTGGCTGAGGATCCAAAGGAGAATTTGAGACAAGTAATTTCAGATGTACTTATGGATGTTTTGTCCTGCGGCCAGGAAATTTATTTGGAAATAGAACGTGTTTTTAGGATCAACTCGTGGATTGCTCGCCAAAAGAATTTGCCAAGGGA